ATTTTGCTGTTTATCTTCCAAGAAAAGATATCCTGTTTAAGACAAAAATTGATAAATCGATACCCTGATTAAGACAAAAAAATGATAAATTCGATACCCTGTTTAACACAAAAATCTCGAAAAACATACCCTGGCTGGCCGCACGTCCCCATTAAGCCCTTATAAGGGAGTACCCCCCCCCCCCGGGGGAAACAGTCGTAAATAATGTAAAAGAATAACTCATTTGAGCTTTCATTTCCGGGAAATCAGTTTAAAGTTTGTTTTTCTTGACATTTCCATTGTCTTTATTTGCTATATTGAAGGTCACCCTTGTTAAATAACAAAGTAACTCAAGCGTAAATGTAGATTCCCGGATTGTAACACTGTCTATCGAAGTACCGACAGTCTTTCGGATAAACTGGCCATTGTTCTCCTAGCAACAAGTAGCTGAACACTACGGATTTTGCGCTGACCCTAGTCTGCCGTAGTCTTTAACTTGTCTTACACGTCTGAAGTAACGCCAGACGTTTTGGGAGACCAAGACATCATTTGTGCGGTTAAATCAGGGTAACTTGCGAATCCGTCATATTGAAATTTTTATGGATGACTCATGCATAGTTAGCTTTCGTCACCCATCCGTTCTAACGTTTGTTGTCTTTGCTCCTTAAGATAATAAGGGTCAGTAGAACCGAATTATATAGTAAAATGAACTCACTCTTACACTGGAAGAGCACTACTTGATCGCGAACCAAACCTCCGTAGTGAAATTGCTTATCGTCAGCCCACGGTTCATCGATCATTCTAAGAATTAGGTAAATATAAAGAAATATAAAGTTTCTTTCTTCATTTCATCAAAACTAAAGTCGTTCTAGATTCATCTTTGATAGTGATCCTAGTTCTCAGGAAGTCAGCAGCCTTTTGGGAATAAATCCAAATGATAGAAATAGATATCAGGCTCAAATTTGTCGTTTTTCTTCTTCCGGTATACTTCCTCGATAATCAAAGTTGCATAGATTACAAGTAAACAAACTGATGTCACGCTATTCTGTGTTCATTACAGGGCTGTTTTTGACACTTATATATGGAATACATGGATAAGCTAACTTTTGCCCTAACTCGGTATGAGGGTTGGTATCAGGGAAGGGATTTTGGACAAGTTTACATAAGCAAAGAAACGAAAAGATTGAGGTTTGATTTACACTCGGTCTCATGGGATATGACAAATAATTAAAGAGGCAAAAATTTTCATGATTGGTGTCCACATGTCTCTGACTACTTTTTAAGCTCTTGTCCGAATTTGTTTTTATTTGGTCCGATAAGGAAGCAGAACAGCATCAAAGCACTTGTAGTTACGCAATAACGGAATGAATGTCAGGATCGATCTTTAGAGAATTTACATGGGTTAGTACGGTAGAAGGAAAGAGGGCATATCCACGTATTTGTCCTGCACTATTGCTGATGTTACAGAAGAAATAAAGAATACGACACTGGCAAATTGATAGAAACAAATAATGCTTTTACATACATACATACATACATACATACATAAACTTTATTTACCTCGAATTTAAGAGTAGCTGTAAGCTAATATCATTGAGTGATTAAAATGAAGTAAAAGGAGTAAGCTAAACTAGAATAGATGAATAATAATACATTAATGATGATAAATATTTACATATTACGATTATTTAAATATTATTATACTACTAAATTCAGTATAGTTACACAAAGGAGTCATACTGAAGTATACTTTTAGAAAATCATATTTATTTTAAAAAGAATGAAAGGAATATTAGATCTGTAAAACGAACTTGTTTCTTGACTCTTCCATTAGGTTTCAAAAACCTAGAAACAAAAGCCTCAGTGAAGTGGTTGCACGATAACATTTTGGGGACTATCTCGCCCATGTCAAAGGTGGCATCTATCATGGATGTAAGCTTCGTTTATTTAACTGTTGTTTTGCCTTCTGCCTTAAGCTGTTGTTTTTTTTATCTGTTATCTTCGTCGATGCTGTTTCATTGCTTTTCAACATGAACGGTATACTTGCAGTCAATTGCAAATAACTGTTGCCAGTTATGTTCAGTTCACACATGATTCATTTGACTAGGTGCAAGATATTTTCATGTCCAATAATCTACTGATATATTTGTGCTATGTCAATTTACCTCCCTCCAGCTTGTCAGTATGAATATTCTTGAAACTTGTTTGCTGTGCAATGTGCTAATATTGTAAGCAGAAGACAAATGTTAATGACCGATGGAATTCAATGATTCTTAAAAAAATCCTACTATGACTTCTTTATCTGTCTGCCTTGAAACGAAAAGTTGCACCCTTATAATGTTGGCTTATTGGAACACCAACACTCCTGCAAACTTCATGAAGGCTTTACAAATCTCATGAAATCAAACTACACTAGTGGTAAAATGTATGATATTACACATGTACTATGCATAAGTTTGTTTTGAAATGTTGAGGATATAAGTGACCTGATTCCTTTTAACAGCAGAGCTGTATTTCTCTAATAACCACAATTCCAAACTCCAAATAACTCGTTTCTTTTTACATTAGGAATTTGAAAATTTGAGACGTTTTCAGTGGGAAAATGAAGACGAAGCTCTGGCCAAGGCACTGGAAATGTCCCAACTTAAGGATTCTCCAACTTCCTCATCCTTATTGCTGCCATCATGTGAGGATCTACAGGTACCGTCATTGAGCCTCCATTCTAGATTTCAATCCTTCTATAGTCTTTCTTAGTTTTCTTAAAACTAGCGAAGTAGTTACTGTAGAGGAAGAATCCTGTTGAGACAATTGTTCACAGGCATTATGAAGATTCAGTTATTAAATTACCACCACTTGATATCGTGAAACACTCCTTCCCCTCCTTTCCTGGTTCATTATGCTGCATGTTTTGTTTCTAGGAAAGTATAAGATATAGAACAGCACTGAAAGAGGGAAAGGGCAGTGAAAGTTACAAGAAAATTTAGCCTGGATCGTAGTTGATAGAGATTTTTGACCACGATTGTCGGTCTCGCGGTTATCGCTAGAAGTACTTTTATTTATGCTCCTATTTATTTTCACTGTTTTTTTGTTTTTGTTTTTGTTTTTGTTTGTTTATTTTTCACATAGCAGGGGTTACAAATGCAAAATGAAGATGAAGATCAAACATTAGCCAAAGCCATGGCTCTTTCTTTAGAAACAACAGGTGTGAAATTAGATATAACTCGTATGCCAAATGGCTGACTCTTTGAACCACGGATCAATACGTCCTTGCTCCAAACTCGATCGGGTCTATGTATTTTTTATTGCCACAACAATGTACACACATAAATGTCATCTTAAAGATGGATGCCGGAACATAGTAGGTAACCCTTGGCCATGGTACCATAGATGGGTTGTAAAGAGCAACCTAACGTCGTATTTTATTTACTTGAGATTAGCAATGATTTTTCACGAACTTCGTAACGAAGATGATTTAATTAATCTCCCGTTGTACCTAGAAAAAGCCTTCATTTTTTCGGTGATGTTCAGCTTTGATGCTCAAGTTATTTTTATTAATTAGAAAAAAAGAAAAAACAGAATGAAAGTCCATGAATTTAGACCAGCACTTATTATCGAAATCGATATTCAAAGAGCGAGGCCGTTTTTTCTTTGCATTTGTCTTACGCCTTTACTTAATTAAATATTACTATATCGACGAGAATAAATGAACATCAACCGAGAAACCACTTATATGACGTTTTCAACATTTTCGCTTGTCACGTTTTTTCTACTTCCTTTTTCTTCGTCGTCTTCTTCTTCCTCCTCTTCTACTGACGCTTGCTGATTCGTTTCTTTGAGTTTGTTTTCTCTCTGTTGTTTGAACATGTTGATGTATACGTCTCTCCTTAATTTTAGTGTCCAGGATATTAGAAGCAAATGTTCGAGATATTTCAAATTTGGCTTGTATTACCTTTAGGATACTTGGTTCGGATCTGATCGATCCGATCGCTCTATCACTTCATCTGCTGAGCATATATTTTGGTAACCACAATTGGTTCTATTCTTCAGGACGTACCATGGGCAACACACAGTCAGCTACTCCCATTTGTTTGCCAAACAACCACCTCTGGAATAGGCATACGGGAAGGACAACAAGGACAGACAATCAGAGGCGCTCTCTAAGAGTGGTCGAGGAAGGACTTGAACAACTCAGGAGAGTAAAAGGCAAGCTATGGTTGGCTACAATGTTGAAGATGTTATCTTATCTTTATATTAACTCTTAAAAAAGAAACGACAACTTTGAGTTTAAATTTACAAGACATGTTTCGACATTCACACGTCATCTTCAGTTGCAAATGAGCTTTTAACGGTTGTACATTTGAATTTATATTGAGGTACGTTACAAATTACGTGTTAGGGCTTACGTTACAATTAGCAAGGAACTTTGTTGCACCATACTTGTGTACCTTGCGAGAGGTATTTAGAGCAGAGTCGCTAGATTTCAAAATGGCTGCCCCGTGTTTTGTGAATTTTGTGTTTTGTGCAGGAAGTGATATACCCGATCGACAAAAAAATACCAATTCTGAGTTTGGTGTAATACTCTTCAAAGGAAAGATATGAGGTTTTACTGATTTAATTAAATATATCTGTTTAATTCCAGTGGAAACTGGCCGCTTATCTCAATACGAGGAGTCAAAATAATTAGAACAGAGTGGTTTTAACATCAATAGGATTGTTTACAACAGAATTAGAAAGCACCCAAGCAATTACATTAAAAAATTGTTCGCCTCAAGTTCAGTCAATATTGTTTAATAATAATCCCGTCTACGTCTCGGAGATTATTCAAGAATATTCACCATAGATAATGGAGCAGGGGGGCAGGGGCCCGTAGCCCTCCCTTTAACAACAATTTGACGAGGGGCGGCCCCCAACCCCCACGTTTTGGTGCCGAGAATATCGCCAACACAACATGGAAATTGGCAATATACTTAGTCTCGTGATCGTTTCATAAATCCTTACATCAGCATCGCGCTTAGCGAAATATATTGTAAAACGTTTTCTTTAAACAGCTACGGCCTGTGGTGGAATAGCTTATCAACTGCAGCAGTTCCACTAAACTGGACAGCGCGGCTAGGAATTAGACATAGTTTAATTAAATCTGTAGGGATCCAATCGAATGCTAAGCTGAATGATTTTAGCATGAGCCGGAAAAAAAAAGAAAGTAAGTCACAAGTTGATTACGAACACATTTGAAACTGTAAACATTGTAAAGACGTTTGTTAGTACTAACGAACACCGCAAAGGGCACTTTGAGAAAAAAAGGTAACCCCCTTCCCCTGCACGTTTCAAAACGCTCCACCGCAACTCTGTTCACTTCGCCTGCGGCGAATAATTGTTAAATGTTAACCATTTTAGTTGAGGTGCACTGTTGTTGAAATACTGGTGCATTTGTTTGTATAGATGGAAATTTTAAGTGAAAGGCAAAAGGAGGATAGAGAGAATTTCCGCGAGCAGATGGACAATGACCTTCGAGCCCACAGAGAACAGATGGACAACATGAAGGAGGCAAACATGCAACAAGCACAGAAAGAAAGAGAGCAGTTTATGCAAGAAAACCAAGAACTCAGAAACCAGTTCCTGGACATGCAGAAAATGAACGAGGAAAACATCAAGATGATAAAAAAGCTGTCTGACTTGGTTGAAAGGCAACAGGAAGAGAAGAAAAGACTTGAAGAGGAGACGCAAAGAACTCAAGCTACCATGGAGAATAAGGAGATGCTTGAACAGATGGAAGCAAAGCACAAAGAGGAGAAGGAAAGGCTGCGTCGTGACATGGAGGCAAAGATTGAGAAACAACGCCAAGCTTTGACAAAAGAATTTAAAGAGGCTGCGAATTCTAGAATACAAAGGATGGACGAAATGAAACAAAAGCTAGAAGAAGTTGAAGAGGAGCTAAAGGAACTCAAGAAACCAGGTTTTATGGAAAGGGTTAAAGATTTTGCGGTTGCTGGAGTTCGAAAAGTGAGAGAAAACTGCTCAATAATGTAAGGAACCTCAGCACCACCCGCAAAGACTAAAAGAAAAGAATAATAACCGCGAATAGCCGCAAGACTTTCAAGATATATTCATTGTAGTTGACGTCTTTTAAAATATATCACCTTGACGAATAAGTTGCAGATTTTTGATGGTTTTTTTGTTATTGCAATAAAAATAATCCGTGGTGACGAAAAAAAAAAAATAAAGGCTAGACTCGATTGCACAAGACTTCACGTAGCAGTTAATAAAGGTAGATGTAGCTTCAATTATGATTTTGAAGAAGAGATTTACGCTGATCAGAATGTCTCACCGCAAATTAACGTTAATACCTGGATTGTCTTTGCAATTTGGATTTACTAAACTTCCTCTTCCGCTCGATCTCATTCCCACCGCGTATTTCCAAATATATCAAAGAAAAGGGTCTGATGTGGAAACTATATGTAAACAAAGCGTAGCTGACTGAAAATACAAGACGCATGTGGTTATCACTGTCCAGGAAGCGTTCATGCGGATTTGTTTCAGCGGATTTGTTTCAGTCGAGCAGCTAGAAGAGTAATTAGCGTGTTGACTTTTATAACAGATTCATAGGCAATAGAGCAATAAATGAGATATCGATATCCTACCTTAAGATTTGTAAACTCATTTGTGCAGTGGTCATATTAACATAATTTCCTGAAGCCATTTCTGCGATTATTTGATTTTTTTTGCGTCAGCTTGAAGTCTCCATAGCCCTGGGCCTGACTTGGAGAAGGCAATCGTACACTATCTACAAGCCTAAGATATCGCTGGTCCGTTTAGAGATACAAATACACACACACACACACACACACACACACACACACACACTGATATTTCTCTCGGTTTACGCTTCTTTGTCGCAAAACTTTAACTAGGAGCCGGAGTGGGGAGTCATTTTAAAGGAAATATTACGTAGCTATCACTAGTAGGCTATCATGGCCTTGAAAGCATACGCCTGAAGAGGTTGATATATTTTAGCGATACCGCTTCCTGAGGACTTCCTTTCTTATTAAATCAGCATAAAATTGTTCCTTTTGATCAGTGCAATAAATATTCTCAGCTAACGAATTATCAAATCATGTCTTGGAAGTTATAGTAGCTGACTTAACACGTCCCTCGGTATCACTCTTGATGTCATCGACATCTCGCACTTAGCTTTCCAAGAAATGTGTCATTGTCATAAAATCAACTAATCGAAACGAAAATAATTTTTTAGTGGTTACATGCACCTGACACGAAATAGCTCTAACTTGGGCTTCTCGTAAAACGCAGCGTGATCTGATGGGATTAGAACACAATCTCTTGGTGTAGTAGTAACTTGTAGTCTGTGACATACCAATATCTACAGCTTGATTGATAAGAGCTCGACTGACAAAAAGGAGCACAATAGTCTAAGGCTAAATTATTACATCATATCCCATTTATAAATCGGTTTACACGAGTAAGCACACGATGTAAGCACGACAAGGTTAAATAATAATAATAATAATAATAATAATAATAAAATAAAAGACCAAGGAACATAATTAAAAGGAAAGAGAAAATTCTAGAATTGTGATACTGAATGTTTCACGATCTTATTCTGCCGCTTCAAAATACCAAATTAAGATCAGAGGCATTGCATATTAAGTGGGAAAAACCCATTCTTAATCAGAAATTGAAGCATCTAGAATTATCTCTTTCCTTTTAATTATGTTGTTCCCTGGTCTTTTATTTTATTATTATTATTATTATTATTATTATTATCATTATTTTTTGATCTAGTCATTGGCGCGCTATTTACATTTTTTGCGTATTTAGAATTCAAATTGTAACGTAAGCCCTGACACGTAGTTTGTAACGTACCTTAATATAAATTCAAATGTACAACCATTAAAAGTTCATTTGCAACTGAAGATGACATGGGAATGTCGAAACATGTCTTGTAAATTTAAACTCAAAGTTGTCGTTTCTTTTTTGAGAGTTATTGTCACTCTGCTGTCTTTATGATCTTTATATTACATTTCACCGACTATAAAGGGAATTTATAACTTGTTAACTCAAACTGAAATGCACCCTCGAAGTTTATATTCGTCATTTCTTGACCTAGTATGATAAAGAATGCTCCAAGAAAGCTCCAATCTGATTAGAATTAAGTTCGAATTGCCTCAGTTAATTTGGCCAAGCAGTTAAGAAAACCTATAAGTTGTCATAGCAAAATGGATTTTTCGTTTTATCAAAGTCGTTATAATAGCTGCGAATTTAAATCTCTCTACAGGCCCAGTGTGTGTAGTATCCATCGCTGGTCCTTACAGAAAGGGGAAGTCTTACATATTAAGCAAAGCTTTTGACCAACCGGAAGTTTTTCCCCTTGGACATAAAATGGAGGCTGAGACCATGGGAATCTGGATATGGATCGTTCCTGGAAAATTGAAGGTTTGTATTTTTTCATCACGTGTGGTGGAATCTCATTAGATAAAGATAACCTGGTTGTATCAGTTCGGAAAAAAGGTCACTTACGCCCGAGTTTCGGATTTGGGACCTGAACGGGTCCTTAGGTCGTTTTCTGAGGCAAGAAACTCCACCTAGAAGTATAAGTAGTCCAACACCAGTGTACTGCCAGGGAGCCCTGACGAAATCCAAAGGGCTAACATCGGGATGCATGGTTAACCCTTTCGGGGGAGTGGCAATAATCCCGATATCTTCATGCAAGAACCGGGATAAGCTTTAACTGAATGGGTCACTTAGCTCAAGTCCTGAGTTTACTTAATTACTAAATATTCAATCCACATTGCCTCTAGAATTCCAATGGACAAGAACTCACAGTGGTGTTACTAGACTCTGAAGGAATTGACGCTACAAATACTGAAAACACCGATGACCATCAGATCTTCACTTTAACTGTCTTGTTAGCGTCTGTGTTGATATACAATTCGCAAGGTGTTCCGACACGAAGTGATGTAGAGAAACTGGAGTATCCTTGACTCCTTTCCAACAAAACAGATATCAGAACATTAGTTAGTTGGATTGACTGTATATGAAAAGCCAGAAAAATTAAAAACAGCTGCTGAGAACTCTCCAAAAATCAAAATATTTGCTCTGTGCTCAGCCATAAGATGAAAGCAACAGTGGTGCACAATCTCTTTTTGTTTTTACGTATTGCAGTTTGGTATATAAACAGGAATCTTGGGTAGAATAACTTCGGTATTTTGTTTTCCTCGGCACATGTACCGTAAAGATGCTTTTATATTCCTTAACAGTTTACAGCTACATAGTAAAACTTTCCAAAAGGATTCAGGTGCGATCTGCCGTCTCTGGTGCGTATGGTCCCTGGCAAAACAGCGAGTTTTTCCATAAAAACTTTCCCTATTTTATTTGGCTACTTAGAGATGTAACACAGGCTATACCAGATGACTGCAAGAACATCAAAGAATATTTCTTAAAGAAGGTAATCTCACTTAAAAGAGAATAGTACTGTGAGGGGTGTCGAATGGTCTTTACGAGCAGTTGCGAGCATGCGAGCAGTGTGTTTATATTTTCGAGAACGAGCAGTTGTCAAATTTTTCTTGCGAGCAGCGAGCACTTTAGAAAAATACAGATGGCGAGCAGCGAGCACTTCGAGTACTTCGTAAATTTTCTTGTTTGACAAGAAGCTTATTACCTTGAGAAAGCTTCGTTCAAATACTGACTTTAATAAGTTTGGCTCTGATGTCTTGAATTCTAGTCTTCGGAGTCTTTTTGCTGCGCCGCTTCCGTGCCTTGATACTCTAATCATTCAGTACAACGACGTTCTAAGTTCTATGCTTGACATCCATGCTCCTCTTGGGACAAAGACTGTTGCTCTGCTTCCTACTGCAGCTTGGTATTCTGAGGAAATAAGTAGTTGGAAAAAACTTCGTAGAAGATCGGAACGGCTATGGCGAAGGACTAAACTTCCAGCCGATCGCCAGTTGTTTATTGATCAAAGCCGCGCAGTGCCTTACTTTGTTTATCCAAGAAGTCTCATTAC